TGGGGAATTCTGGGAGTTGAAGTCCACTCATCTTAAAGTGGCCAGGTTTGGACAACATTGGTTTAGACAAATAGAATATTCCCTCCCTGCCCCAGGCTTGACTTGTTAATTCAACTATCCAGGGAAACATAGAAAGTTGGCGATCTCCCATCCTGCTAAGCCTTAACATGGTTGGGTTGGTGTTGGTCTAGCCTGTTGTGAGGATTCAGCCCATTGTGGTTGATTTAGCAAACTTAGAGTGATGTGCGAACGCAGCCGCTGGATCAGATCACTGATGTCTTTCTTGAAAGGAGCATAGCCCTTGTCAGATATTTAAAGCATTAATGGGATTCTGTAAGAGCGAGCAGCGCGATTCTAACATCTTTGCAAAAGATTTGTTTTTTAATGGGTGGCTTTTGTTACTTCTCTTCCAAGGGAACAGGCTTCTGAACAATGAGGCTTCCAGGCTGTTGCATAGCAACTTAACTCGCTAAACACGTAGCAGGTGTAACATACGGAATATGGTATGACGTGAAAGCCGTGTCATCTGTGGCAACAAATGGCTTTTAACAGCCGCGTTTTTGAAGGCGGCCGTTGCAACCTGTGGGAGCTGCGGGAGAACTTTTCCCTCCTTCATTTGTCTCTCCTTCACGTCTGAAAGCAACTCTTTCTTTTTCATTTGGATGCTATTTTATTAACACGCCTAAAAAAATGTAGGTCTGGAAAAGCAGAGGCTCTCCAGATGTTGCCAGTATGGAACAACTTTAATTTTTTTTTCTTTTTAATTGTGTTGTTTTGGTAGGATTGATTTTTTTTTCTCTCTCAGGTTTAATGAGTTCCTTAACTCAGTTTGGAGGCACGTGCTTTTTAGCATCGTTTGTCTGTATATAATTTGCATGATTCTAGTTTTGGGCGTGTTTAAGCTGTGGAAGGTGAAGGGTCATCACCAAATAATTAAACTTGCACTTTGCTCACTGAAAACCCAAGTTTGATTTCAGGTATCTCCTAGCAGTGCAAGAAAATCATCTGCCTAAGAGCCATTTCCAGTTTGTTGGCCAAATAGCTGCACCATTCTAAACCATGATTTGTATAAATATGCTTTATTCAGTAATCCACGCTCGGCTGGGTTTACATGAGATGCTGTCCTCAAATCAAACACACACATTACAGTGAATGAACCCAAACAGTTCTTACTTATTCAGCAAACTGGACTTGGTGCCATAGGTAAAGTGGAATGGAGTTGTTTGATTTCAGTAAATCTACTTTTTAACCCCAGCTAATTCTGGATCCAAGCCAATCTTTGTAAGGTGAAATCCTGAATATCTACACAAATACCACTTTTAAGTAGAGCTGGGCTTGTTGACATCTGCCTAAAACTAAAAGTGATCATTTTCCAAATACAGATCTCACAGAGTTGTCTTTAGCAAGAGTTAGTGGAAAGAAAGGGATGGGTTAGCCACTGAACTATTTCCCATCTAGGATATAAATGGTAGTCCCCAGGTTAAAAATGCCCAGTTTACGGATGATCCATAGTTAAGAATGGAGCCTATTGTAGCAAGATTCAAATTAAATACACAATGATTTGAGTTAAATACACAATACTACATACAGTATTATACAATCATACTGTTTTGGTTTACATACAAATTCAACTTAAAGACAAATCTTGGGGATGGAATTCATTCTTAACTTGGGGACTACCTGTATCCCAGTGTATGTTAGGGTGGAGAGGTCTTTATTTTCTTTCTAACTGCCTTCCTGTGAGGAGGACAGAGAGAATAACAATAAGGTTTCATTCCTGATAACTTCATGCTTACCTCCATGTAGTTTTCTTGGCAGCTGTCTAGAACTGGTTTCCCATTACTTTCTTCTGGGATGTTTTTCTGACTTCCTCATTTAGTTTTTGGTCTTGATAACTTCTTGATGGTGTCCCGTCCAGGTACTAGCCCAAGTCAGCTTAGCTTTCTCAAGATTGGCCAAAGTCAGCTTGGATCTACAAGAAAATAGTGAATGAGTTGCAGTGATGCGAATGATATTTATCTCCAACCTTGGTCTATGACAGGACCTCTTGATTGATACAAAGTAGATCTCTTCCTAAAGCTGAGTTTGATTCCCAATGACTATATGTCCATATTGTTTTCTTGGCAATAACGTGGAGCTGCCTTGCCATTCCTTCTTTCTGGGATATTTTTTGCCTTCTCAGCTATTTTCAGCACACAGTTTTGTATTATTGTTGAAAGCTATTTGAGAATAGGTCTTTGATTGGGGTATCTGTAGATATATGCTGATAAATGGTTTCACTTTCCCATCTTTCTCAAGAGTGCTTGTAGGCTCTGGTTATCTAGATTAACCATTGAAAGTGTTTTAAATTAATACCTTGGCCTGGAGAAGAGGTTGTGTGCTCATAAATAGGTTCATTTTGGGTTCTGCAGATAAACCACTCAAAGATAATTTGGAGAAGTAAAACATTCTTAGGTTTAATAGTGCTTTGGGTAACTGGAGACTTTCTAGGAATTGTAGTGCATATGTTGGATACCAATCATCTGTAGAGGAAATCCTTGCTAAGCTCATTTTGAATTTTCCAGTATTTTGAGGGATACTGGTCTAGAGTTCCCCTAAATAATGACCATCTGATATAGTTTTATAACTGCTGTATTTCCCTCTCCTTCTAAGCCAGTGTGGTCTTTGAGTGTTGAAGTGCAACATGTTTGGAGGATTTTAGATGGGGGGAAGGTTATTTTTTAGGAAGTGATGATGGCAATTTGTGTTAACTAAAATAGTTAAAATAAGAAGACTGAAGTCAACAGAAATCTAATTGAAACGCAAATATCTGTGCTTATGAGGCATGAATTTTAGAGCTGTTCTGCATGAGATGACTAAGTGTTCATCAAAAAGAATAATAGACTTAATTTTGTCTATTTTTTCCCCCCAAGCGGAACTTCGGCAAGCTATTGTAGCCATGATGAACAGAAAACATGAACTAGAAGAACAGAATAGGTAAAACAATGATGCTTTGGGTCAGTTCTGTGGAGAGAGTGTGCACATCATTATATGTGGACAGAGGTTGACTTGAAGTTGACTTGAAGTTTACTCATGCTTTGCATTGACATAATAAAGAGAAGAGCAGATCTGAGGCTCAGTATCTCTGCCCTCAATGCGATTATGCCCCAGAAACTCCACCCCGACATTGGCTATATCTTAATTCCATTGTGAAGCAGCTCCATGCGTATGCAGTTGTGATTAACCAGAGCACTTGTCCCGTGCAAGAGACCTCTAAGCAGGCATTTGTATATGCTCCTTCTCTCTGACATCAAATGCACGCTTGCTATTTGTGCACTCATGGTATGAGCCTGCTTCCTCTTTGAGAGGCTTTTAAGACTGATGTTAGCCTATCGAGGTAGGCAAGGTCAAGAAGCAGGACTCACTTGGAGTCTTGGAAAGTACTTTAACACAGTTAAGGTATTATAAGCAAATCTTGAAACCCTCTCAAAGCCCCTCTCTACTTCAACTTGTACCTAACTCAATCAAGGCAGAATTGCTTTAAATTTCTTTCTCACACTTTCCCAGGACTGAGATATCTGTTTTGTAGTGGCTCCATGTTCTCCTGAGATTCCATCACACTCCGCTAGACCAATGTGCCCACGGGGAGTCCAGTTCCTTTAGGTTCCCTCTGAAAGTGTTTGGTCTTGACAAATGTCAAGCAGCAGACAGAGCCATCTCACTCTGCATTCTTCTCTTCAGTTCCTTGCGGAGTCTCTTGGATGGGGAGATGGAACATTCAGCGGGACTCCGTCAAGAGGTGGACAACCTGAAGAAGAAAGTTTTGGAACATGAAGAACGTTATACAGTGAGGATCCAGGCCTTGGCAAGGTAGTGAAGTGGGCTGGGTGGTGGTCTTGGTTTTGGTTTCTGCAAAATGATCCCAGCCTGTTATTTTGACAGACCTCTGCATCCTGTGGGGAGCGGGGGGAGGAACAGTAAGTTCTACTAATCTGCTACCCATATCAGGGTTTTCTTTCTTGGCCTGTGAATATTTAATGGGACTGTTTGGCTTATACGGTATTTAGAAGCTCTACTGAAATACAGAGAAGAAAGGACTCCAGTTTGAAAGAGTAAATCCACCCCATTGAATTATATGTTTCTTGTATATTTCTCTGCTCCCTTTATTATTAGTCCAGTTTACATGGCTTGTTGGTTAATGTCCTTCTTAAAATGTGATGCCTAGAACTGGACACAATATTCTAGTTTAATCTTCACAGAACAGAGATAAACTCTGGCTTTTCTCAAATGTGTCCACAGCACTTCAGCCAGGGGACAAGTTGTAGCCCTCAACCCGGAAAAGAGCTGTTTACTCAGATCTAGATTCAGGCTGCAGTCATGTATCTTGCTAAGCCATAATGTAGTTAGTTTGGCTGATTTAGCATGTCTTATGAATCCAGTCGTTGTGGTTATTAACCATAGCTTAGTACTAAACAAGCTTATGCAGTAAACACTGGTTAAACAACCCTAGCTTAATGATATGTATGAATCCATTCAGTTCTCTGTACAGAAGTTGCAGAAGCTCCTGGCTGCAACAAACCTTTTTCTTGAACAAACCATGCTGAAAACAAACCATGGCTTACTAAATATGTGAATCCAACCAATTCTGTACATTCCTGCTTTCCTTTTTAATACATCTGTGAGCGATGAGTGGAAGGAAGAACTCTTTCTGTGTACTTCACAGAGAAAGGTGACATTTTTGAACATTGATGGCCCTTCCGTACCTGGAAGTGTGAATGTCCAAGCGTTTTGTACTTGAATATTGGCATTTTGTAGAGTACCCAAGAGAAGGAAAGTAAGAGGAAGAGTAAGGGGAAAACTCAGCGGTGGATATGAAAGAGAGATTTGCTAAGTGCTTCTGCATAAGTTCTGAGGATGATGACCAGGTAGCGTGTCCCGTTTTGGGGCATGTGAACCCAGAAGACACATAAATGGTAGAAAAATATTTCTTATTGTTTAGAAATGGTAGAAGCAAACAAACTGATCTTGTTAGGGCATGGCCTCTGTATTCTTTCTGGCTGAGGAATATTGCACTCTGAATTATTGCCTGCTCCTCGCGTGCTCTTTTCCAACCCATTAAAAATATGACTAGGTTTTCTTGGAAATCCTGAGCTTTATATTACACAGGGGTGATGGATGATGCTTGAATCATCAGTGAGCAGTGTTTAATAGATTTGCTACACCAGCATTCCTGCAAAGAAAATGTCTCCATGTTTGCTTGGTTTTTGTTTTGCTTTCTTTCCAGTGGGGGTCTTGCTCGTCCCCTGGCATCCTTGCTGTTTTGAAAGGAAGCTCTGAAAAACACACCTCACCTTTACTGATTTAATACCTGCTGTGGGAACTCCATCTATAGTAGCTTCTGCAGGAATCATTTCCCTCCAGCTGCAAAATGGCTTGGTTCTGTTCAGCCTTCTCTAAAAGCACATGCCATCACTCGGTGCCAGTACCAATTGGTTGGCTGATGGCCTCGATTGCCACTGTAGATGCATCTAAGCCCTTGTTCCAAAATCCGTATAACAGAGAAAGAAAGGTGTTAGCTTATATTTTCTGCATGTAAGGAAGGACTCACTTTAAAGTTGCACATACAGTGCTAGGTATTGGGGGCTGCAATATATTGGTGTTAAGAATGAGACTTCTGATGTCCCTTGGGTTCCCTGTCTCACCTGATATGATGATGATGATGATGATGATGATGATATGATGATGATAATAAAGACAAAAGCGTCTGGATAGTGGACATTGCAATACCTGGAGAGATAGCAGAATAGAAGAGAAAGAACTGGAGAAAATCACGAAATACAAAGACCTGCAAACAGAAGTAGAACGACTGTGGCAAAAGAAAGCAAAGATAGTACCAATAATAATGGGCACCTTGGGTGCAATCCCAAAACATCTGGAGCACCACTTGAAGACCATCAGCATGGACAAAATCACCATCAGTCAATTGCAAAAGGCAGCTTTACTTGGAACAGCTTCCATCCTGTGATGATACCTTTAACACCATCAGACAACAACATCTGCCTATCCCAGGTCCTTGGGAAGGATAAAAATGCCAAATCCAGTCTAAACATCTGGCTGACTGTGACCAACAATCATTATTTTGATTTAAGATTATGATCTTAAACCCAAACCACATCATGGCTAATAAGTAGATGGTAAACCATGTTGTCTTACATTGGATGTAGCAGATGACTTGAGTTTAAGCCAACCAGAATCACAACAACCTAACTGCTTCATGGTGAAAGAAGAATGATTACTTCTGAGGTGAATTCCCAGCTTGCTGTACCCCAGTTCAGAGAACCAGAATTGTTAGCACCCAAACTGGCCTGTAGTTTCATGCCTTTGTGATTTTGTAACTTCATAGCTGCCAATTATGTTAATTAAAAAGCTTGTTCTGCATTTGCAAAGTCTGCATTTTTGTCAAGCTTTGGAGCTGTTTATAGAAGGAGAAAATGAAAGGTTTTGTTATGTATGTTTGTTCATTGCACTCAATTAATAGCTGACATGTGCCCCAAGTTAAAAATGAGCAAAAAACTATTCCCACTCTAAATTGTGTCCTGTCTTTCCATTCAATTCTTACTTGAACTTTGTTTATGAGATACTGCAGGTTTGAGGCCATTGGGATAATTGCTTTATTATATACCATTCAAAGGCTGGGTTTACATGTGACACTAAGCCATGATGTAGTTTTTTTCCTGGGTTCGCTATTTCCTGAATCTAGCAAATTTGGCTTATCAACCATGATGTGTGACTTTTGTGTAATCTTAGCCAATTGTGGTTTATACACCAAACCGTGCCTTAGTTTGGATTTATTGCTGAATTTTCCAAAGTAGAATGTCATATTTCTAAAATCTAGCTATTTAAACTGTGTTTGCATCTAGTGTGAAACACTGTGTGTGCTTCTGGACTTGGATAATTTCTCAACAATTTGTCTCAAATCATTAAATGCAATGGGAATATTCATACTTAACCTCATTGGCACTTGTTTTGATCTTTCCTGTTCCTGGATTGCCTCCATTTGCTTTGGCTGTGGCCCTTAGTATTCTTCCAGATGGGTGCATATAGAAATGCAAATCTTTCTATATTTTTAATCCTGTAGTTTTCCACTTCATAAAACAGCTCAATAACATGAGTGGCATGTCATTTGGAAGCATGCTTCTTGAGTTGGCGTGGATTAAATAAATCCAAGCCTCAGCAAATCAACATCACCTGCTTCTATGATCTTGGAAGCTAAGCAAGGTTGGACCTGGTTAATACTTGGATGGGAGGCCAGCAAGGGATGTAGAGTAAACTAGAGGGTAAAAAAGGCAATGGCAGGCACTTCTATATCGCTACCAAGGAAACCACAGGGACTTGTCTATGCGGCCAACAAGAAGTTGAGCTTGGATATGTAAACCATAAATAGGAATCTAAGCTGGCTCACATATAGGTTTTTTCCTACTGTTTCATTCGCTAGATGTAATGGCATGTCTGAATGACCTTGGGAGACAGCAGGAAGAGCCGCAGACTAGACAACAATTAGATAAGAGGCACCTGAGTCTGCAGAAGGAATGGGGAAGTGGCAAATGTCTCAGATGATACCCTCCCTAGTTTCTTGGACTGTAAAGGTGAGGGGGGAGAGATGTACGTTCAGACTTGCAAGATTCTGTTAATGTAGCCTTACAGTAAAGTTAGAGCTAATATTTCTGGGTGTGCTTCTTGTCTGGACTATCTCACCAGGCTGACACTAGAGGAGGATAACATAAACTGGTAATTCAAGTCAATTGCACCTAACTTTCCGTCTTTGAAACTTCTGACACTGTAGCAGCAGCTAGGATGGGGACAGCCATGAGCTACGGGTCTGAGCATGCAGATGTATTTCTTGAGTGATCAAATGTGCAAGTCTCTGAATCTTCTCGACTCACCGTGGCTTACAGATCTTTATATAAATAGATTTCAGTACCTTGGGAAATGGGAAACCAAGATGACCTGTGTACAGGCTCTCAATTTGTCATCATGTACTGCTGTGATGATGTCATCATTGGGAGAAAACATTTGTGCCTTACAGTTGAAATCCTCGTAGATTTACAAGCATATTGGTGCATCACTAAAAGGTCACTAAGCTCTTCTGTGCTCTGTTTGTTTTTTTTATTACTTGGAGAACGCTCATCTTTGCCCTTAAGGCTTATAAACCATGGTTTATGTAGCTAGGTTTTTGGGTGAATCCAACTCAACTGGGGCTTAGTTAGGAAGCCACGGTTGAAAAGTTGGGGCAACATGAATCCCAGCCGCACATCTGTGTAGCCTGCCACTTAGTCTTTCAGCCCTCCCCAACTATACTCAAAGATCCCAACCCATAAAACACAACTACATTTTACCATTGCTATATGGAGTTCCTGCATGCGTGAAGAAAACAATGGCTAACCCTTGCCCTAACTGGCTACTTTTTAAAGGCTAAAATGTTTTGAGTAAGCAGAGTGTTTTGGCTCTTGGCGTCAAGCGGTTATCTTACCATGGTTGCTCGCTCACCGTCTCCCAACGCTGTGTTTTGCCGCTACACACACAGGAAATCAGAACAATCAGCTGCTTCAAATGCCTTCAGGAGCTTCATTAAAATTTCATTATTATGTAATGTATATTCCTTTGCCACATAGGCAGTTACAAAGTTGTTGAAAAGGGCTGATTTCAATAGGCTTGCATTGGGCAGCTCTCTGCATCGGCAGCCGGGTCATTATTCAAGAAAACCCAGCGGGCAATTCATTTCCTCCTCATATTCTTTGGAGTCCCCCCCCCGCACGAGGCTGTTTTCGGACGTCCCTTTTATACAGCCTTCCTTTCCCTCCCAATGCGGAGAGATTCCTTGGAAATTTTACTTGCCAGCGTTGGTAAAAGCACAAGCTCAACCCTGCAAACGGAGCCTGACGTTTCTGCTCATCAGCAGCAGAAACCAGGGCTGTTTATTTCTTGGATGTTCTTAATTGCCGCTGCTGGAGCTCCCAGTGGAATTCAATATTTCAAAACCTGCCATTCTCTGCTTGGCACGAGGCCATTAAGCGTGCAGGCTCTAACCCAGCGGGGCCCAATTTTGAGACCCCAGGCTTCTGAAAACCTGGGGCTGCAAGCTTCCACAGTCCTTCAAAGATGAAATGGTAATTTCTCCGGCAATTTGCGAGGGAGGAGTCTTCAATGTGGTCATCGTCTCAATTGTATTGAAATGATGGACGCAACAAAAGTTTTCTGAATTCAGATTTCGCTTTGTTCCGGTCTCCTCGGTTTCATTGCTCTAGTCCTTGTCGCTTTGTAAGGGCATGGACAGATATGCCACAAAGTGTTCAGTGCAGGACATCTAGTTGCTTTCATAAGGTCCCCTGCATCTTTATCAGTGGCAACCGACCCTTCGACGACATTGCAAACTAGAGTTTTGCAACAGGGCAGAGGCCTTGCAGGCAGAGGCACCCTTGCTGGTGTAAAAGGTATTGCGTTTTGAATTGAAAGCATCTCCCGTTAAATCGATCTTGGGGAGCGAGCACGGCAAATGATCACTTTGCGTGAGGCAGCTCTAAGGTAGTAGATCATTACAGGTAAGATGGATGGATAGGCATAAGGTAGTTTCATGTACTGATCTATGCATGCGTCTCTTTGGTGCAACATTTGTTCATGTGAATCAAGTTTTCTCCTGCTGGGAAGAGCATTAATATATCAAGTGATGGGAGCCACTGCAAGGTAGTGGTGAAAGTGTTGAGCTAGTAGCGAGGAGACCCAGGGTTCTAGTCCACTCTCAACCAGAGAAGCTCACTGGGTGACCTCAGCCAAGGCTCTCTCTCCTGGCTCAGCCCCACCTCACAGGGCTGTTGTTGGGTGGAAAATAGGAGGACATGCTACATATCGTGAATTCCTAGAGGAAAAGTGGGATATAATCCCATGAATAATTTTAAAAGGATTGGGTAGCAGTGATGTCAACTACCTGTACTTAATTTCCTTTCCTTTTCTCTCCTGCCCTTGATTTCTTCTGCTGATTCTTCTTCTGTTTTTGTTCACTCCATTGCTTGTGTGTGTGTGTGTGTGTGTGTGTGTATGTTAGAACTTGCTCCAGAACATAAACCTCTTCTGGGTTCCTTTCCCTCCCCCACCTTTTTTTTTTTGAGTGGGGGGGTTGATTTGATTAAAAATAATTGCCCCATATTCTTGTTCTTGTACTTGCAGGGAAAACGAGGTGCTAAAAGTCCAGCTAAAGAAATATGTTGGTGCTGTCCAGATGCTGAAAAGAGAAGGTCAGACCATGGAAGGTAAGTAGAACAGCCTCACCAGAAACAACAGGCTTTCCTAACATTGCCGGTCATTCTTATATTTGCTGTTACAGAACACGTTGCTAATGGTTCGTTGTCAAAACAGAGGCTGGAAAAAGGGCCACTCTCCATTGCTACAATCTCCCTTTAAAAAAAAGAATCTCTCAATTTCAGATGACAAAGGGACACTGTTATCATTCCCATCCTTTTTTGCCGGTCTTAAAAATCTCTCCAAACCTTAAAAAGATGGTTTAAATTATATCACTGAAATCCAGACATTTTGTTGTTGAATTTTGGTGGTGTGATCTCGGATGCTGGGATTTCAAGTAGGTGCTGGGAGTGGTATGTGGCCCATGAGTCTAGTTTACCTCCCCATCTCTACCAGAAAGAGGAGTCATGACTTCTTCATTCCTCCTCTGTGTTTTCAACATTTTGTTGTGATTATTTCAAGCGTTGTTAACTATATATTTGGGAGACCTTGTTTGGGCAGACTAAGTGGGAAGGAGGTTGACTGTGTGCCATTAAGTCGGTTTTGACTCTTAGTGACCGCATAGATTTCTCCAGGCCGATCGGCCCCCAACCTGGTCCTTGGGTCTTCCAACAGCGCACTCATTGTGGATGTAATTGAATCCATCCATCTTGCAGCTGGTTGTCCTCTCCTTCTCTTTCTTTCCACCTTTCCAGCATTATAGACTTCTCAAGGGAGTTGAGTCTTCTCGTAATGCATCCAAAGTGTGATAACTTAAGCTTGGTCATTTGCGCCTCATGTGAGAATTCTGGGTTGATTTATTTGATGATCCATTTGTTTGTGTTCTTGGCTGTCTGTGGTATTCTCAAGAGTCCTTTCCAACCCCAGTGTTCAAAAGTGTCAATACCTGCTGATACTTTATTATTTCAGGGGTTGCAAATATTAGAAATAATGATAAATGCCCATTTAGCGAGATCAGCAAATGTATAGGATAATTTTTCCTCATTCCGAACATTACATTTCCCCTGTACTTCCATGTGCTTCCCCCTCCCCCAATAAAACCATGTTTTTCCTCCTCCCTCCAGATTTATTTTTATTAAGAAATAAATTACATGGAACTGAATGCTGTGTTGACTGAAAAAAGGGGGTATACTTGTTTATAAACTAGTATAAAATTAGTTTAAAAATTCATTTTCTCATTGGAGAAAATTAAATCTTTGACAAGCAGTTAAAAAAAAATCGTTTTATTCCTCTTCCAGTGCTTAAGCTAAAGAAAGAGTTTTCTATTGGCATTCACAGCTTGAGCCTTATAGTTTGAGACTTTTCTGAGCTCCTGCAGGAATTAAAGGACTTAATTCCTATTTGTGAAACAATTTAAATCAATATAGATCTTGAAAGTATGACTGTGTCATTTTTTCAAGCAAGGATTAACTAAATATGCATACTAAGCTTGTTTGTGTCTGTTTTTAAAAATGTATTTACAAAATGAAACTCCTCTCTCCCCCAACTCTCTGTTATCGGAAAAATCCTGTTTGAAAGTTTTTATTGAAAGTTTGCAAATCAGAAAGCAAAGATTCAGAGGAATTTCTGCAAAAGTTTTTTTGATAGTTTGTTCTGTTTTAATATGAGATAGCACAGTCATAGTTCTCTTAGGCCAGTCAGTGCTTTGATGCTACATCTGAATCTTTTAATGACTTTGCTAGGTTTATACCAACCTTTCCATCAAAGAATGATGCTCAAAGTAGCTAACAATTAACATAATAAAGTGCCAAATTAATTAAAAACATGGTTAAAGCATCCATTAAAGAAAAAAGATAGCACCCCACCAATTAAAAGCCTAACCTGGCAGCTGCAGATATCCTCTTAAAATAGAATGCCTCAACTGCAGTTGGACTCCTGAACTACCTAGATACATCCATGCTGTTTTCTTGAAGTCGTTTATTAGTGGTTTGGTATTACTTCTTCCTTCTGGGATGTTTCTTGACTTCCAGTCTAGTCTGTAACCCAAGTTTTCCCTTATGGTCTCTCATCTGAGTGATAACTGGGCCTAAGTCTGCTTAGTTTTGACTGTCTTCAAGATCAACCAGGCATTGTCACATGCTGGATTTATCTGTTCCCCCTGTTGATGGTACAGTAACCAAAGTTAGCCTGATGATCATTGACAATCATCAGTGATGATTGTCTTCCCCCTTCCATTCTAGTGAATGTGCTTCCACTGGAGACAGGACCGAGTTATACCCATCTCCCATGGATCCTAAAGCCCAGGCAGTTTGTAATGTATTCTTTCAGATAAACTGAATGGCTCCTCGAACATATAAACTATCCTGAGGGCAGCTGTCAAATATGAAATTATTAAGCTACCGTTTTGAAATATTGCTGGGAATTGTGGCAGTTGGACTTCAGCATCTTTGAAGCAGTCAGGAAGAGAGAAGCACTTAGAGTTGGTTGGAGAACCTGGTACTTTCCAGGTGTGTTGGCTATCAACATTCAGGTGTCCTGGCCAGCACTCTGAAAGCTGAAGTTCAACAGTTCTGGATGGCCTCAAAGTACAGTGAGATAGGGGCATTGCTTCATCTCAGGTGGTTGCTGTATAATTTGCTGTCAACAGTGGTTTCCCTGCTGGATGTTTGAAGCTTAACCATGGATTCCTAAACAAAAGGAAGCACAAACTTTGGTTTGAGTGATGTCTGAATAGCTGCCACGTGGGAAACCTGAGGTGGAGTGGAAGCCAGTGTGCATGCTGAGGATATAATTTAACATATTAATTTCAAGTCCTTTCTGATTTCTGAGCCGTTTTTTTTGAAGATGACCTGGGATGATGCAAAATCTTCTCCTTGTCCTGACTTCCAAGACAATTAGTTGTATTTACATTCCATTGGAATGAATGGGCCATGCGCTCTCTTTCACTGTAATGAGGTTTAAGCATCTCTAAATTTAGGACAGTTGAATGTGATATCTGAGCTCCTTTCAGCCTTGTAACTGTTACCTGAGGACTGCAATTCTCAACAGAACATGGAAATAAATCCCCAGCACAGTTGTGATTCTTAGGTTTTCCTCCCATGACCATCTAAAAATTGAAAGAGAGATTAAAAGCAGATTATTTCAAACTTAAGCTATGTTTTTAAATTCCCACTTTTTTACAAGTTAAAGGGCAGTAATTATTAAGCATCATCATGCTTTTTAAAGCATCATGTAATTTAAAGCACATGGCTGCTTTCCTGAGCAAAATTCTCTGAAGTGGAATGTAATGTTTGCTAGTGGTAAATAAAAATATACTAAACTGTTCAGCAACCTTTCCATGACCTACCAGTAATTTATAGACTACAATTTTGAGGAACTTAAGTGATTTTATTTTGTTAATTCTGCATGATTTTGATTAAGTTCTCTGCTAAGGCTGAGATACATGTGTTCAACTGTTTCAGTATGCTGGCTTGTATTAAAAATTATTCACGAAGATGGTATTTTTAAGCTGCCTATAATATGAGAAATTATCCTTCATTAGACGCTGGCAGTTTTTTGTGATTTGTATAATTATGGAAGGGGGAAACCTTGGCTGCTATATTCTGCCGTGTTAGAATTATATGTAAACAAAGGCACAATAAAGATAGAAATTGAGTGGGATGGTCAGGTTTTATAGAAGAAAAAAAGGAGGTGGTGGTAGAACGATTGCAAAACCTTTCTAAAAATGAATGGTTCTGCACCATGCCTTTTAGTTGCCTTTCACCAGCTGTGGGCTAAATTTCTACTGCAGATACTAAAAATAAATTTGAGCTGTGTATGTTTTATAATGCATATGATTCAAAGATACCACTCTTTTTTTTTTTATGGTCCAGGGCTGGCTTCTGTTAGGGATAGCTGCATGACTGTGCATCTTGATGCAGGATGTTCATTTCCAGGGGTGTGATCACATGTGTTATTGCTACTGAGTGTTCAACAAGTTTTTGCTATTTTGGGTTGGCATAGCCAGCCAACTCAAAAAAGCAGGGAAGAGAGCTTGGTGGGGATGATAAGCATTTACTGTTGTTAAGTCTGTGAGTCACCCAGAGTCACGTATGTAAGATAGGCAGCTATGTAAATTGAACGAATGAATGAGTGAACGAACGAACGAACGAATAATAAATAAATTTGATTGTTTTTAAAGCAAGGTATATAGTATGGTTCAGAAGTGAAATGAGCAGGGACCAACCCTCTCCTCCAAAACTTCTTTCTACTTGGAGTTAGGAAAGAGGTCAGTTCATCTGCTAAGGTAGCCCTTCTATCTCTGCAGCTTCAAAGTGGGGAGCCAGGCTGGTTAGTCAATTCAAATGTGGCAGTTTACAGTTCTCAGAGATCAGAACTTACAGATCTCAGTGTTAATTAAGGGAAGGGTTGCCACATCAGTTATGATCACCCAAAAGTGAAAGAAAAATGGATGAAGTGCAGAAATATGTGTAGTTATCTAATTCTGAGGGTAGCTGCAGTTATCTAGATCCAGCTGATTGCATCTGTCAGGAGGTTCCATTTTAAACTGATTGTTGATGATCTCTTCCTTGTTTCAAGCATATCTGAACCTCCTCAGAATCACCAGCAGTTTTAAAACATGGAAATCCAAAGAAAAATGAGGCCCAGGCAACCAAGATAGGACAAAGTGCTGATGCAAGTTGTGTTCTCCTACCTTAGTTATGACAAGGGCACTCTTCATTGACTTTGAAATAGACAACTGACCATCCCTTTGTTCATGGAGATGCTATACCAGGACTTAAGATTGGGATTTGTTACCACCAAATGTGCTAATGGCCTGTGCGAATTGATTAAGCATCCACTAGAACATAATTTAGCAGAGTGGAGAAACCGTAGCTATTATCAAGGATTGAGCAGGTAGTCCTACTGCTGGCTTCATTCAGTCTAGATGGAATAGATGCTGGAAGTGTTTGGAAGACAGATGTAGTTTCAGCAAGTCTCATACTTGGCCGCTTGGACCTCCCAGCATCCCAAAGAATTTGGAATTTGCTGCACCCTGTGTGTATGTACGTTTGCCTTTCTCAGTTTTATT